AGTTACACCTCTTGTTTGACTAGCCGATAGACCCTATCAGAAAGGACCCTCTATGGTTTGGAATTCAATTGCAGGGTTGTCAACGGCAAAACCAAGTATGTCTTGAATAATTTCCTGTAGCTGGCTTCTTGGAGTGATACAGCAGGAAAACATGATCAATCGCTGCTTCTGCTCGTGTCATGTCTTTGGTTGAAAGGTGTTGCTACTTTGTTTGTCGTGTGTTGGTTTGTGTCTCTAAGTACAAAAAGAGGTACTTTGACCGTTTCTAGCTATCCTCATCGGGTCCTTACACCCTTTGGGCAATTTGGACCCTGTGAGCGATTTGGACCCGTTGGGCCATTTACACCCCTTGGGCTATTTGGACCCTTTGAGCTATTTGAACTTTGTTTTTCTTAGTTTGCTGTTTATTGGTTCCTGTATTTGTTGGTTGACAGGGCAATTTTTAGATTGTTGTCTATTGGTTCCTGATTTTGTTGGCATACAGAGAACCTAATCCCAAGCAACTGGGATGGTTTTGGTCTTAACCAACAAAAGCCATGCGAATCACCGGCCGGGCCTGAATCGCCGCCTCCTTCGCTGCCTCGTAGTACTCCTCTCCTTTGACCTCGCCTAGGTTCAAGGAGACAAGACGAAAGCTTCAAATACCAACGGCCTTGTTGGGGTTGTCTTTTGTTAGGTTTGGAGAACCCAGGGTTTTCCACATGGGGAGTTGATCAATATTCCTGGCCAGGCCCCCGCATGACCATGGGCAACTTGTCCCATTTAGTGGTTAAGATCTCATCTTTTTCGGAGTTTTCACCAAGACACCTAAGTTGCCCGGGCTTTCGAAACACGAGCCACTGAAAGAGTGGTGGTTTTCTCTGCGGAAACCCAACCACTACACGAACAAAAACTCGGGGGGTCGCTGGGAGCCACCAAGTTGCCATTGTTCTGGCTGGGTTGCTCTTTCCCCCTAAAGAACGCCAAGCCTTTTTGCAGGCTTAATGAAGAAGCTAGTAGCGCCAAGCCTGTTTACAGGCTTAATGAAGAAGCTAGTTGTTTGCATAAGGCCTCAGGGCGATCTGTCACACCAATGACCGTGAGTTCAAAGGAAAACCGCAGCTGTTCGAGAGGTAACCCTTTCTTTGTCAGGGATCCTTCCCAGAAAGCCCAGCCCTAAGGAAACTTGTTTTGAAAGCAGAGATGGACAATAATTCAAGGGTTTAGGGGTTTAGGGCTTAGATGAACTTGGGGTTTAGGGCTTAGGGTAGCCCTACTGTGGATGGTTGCGAAATCCAGAAATCGCACCACCTAAGGAACCCTGGTTTCTGATTCGATTCCCCTGTAAATACCCACAAACAACGGCTTCAACCATGGTTTCAAGTGGTGCGAAATGGATTTTGTCCAACCACGGTACGGAAACTTGTTTTGAAAGCAGAGATGGACCAAACAACTAAGGTGATTCCCGTGGAATCATCTGGTGGGAAAATGATGCCCATTTAGTTGGTTGAAATCTCAGAGTGAACTTCACCCACAAAATGGGTGCTCAACTTAAATGGGTTATGTCGCAAAGTGGCGATTTAGATCCATCAAATCTAGCCCACCAACCAGAAACAAGACATGTGAACTTTGATTTGGGCTGGGATCTGGCTCCGTAGTGAAGGGCGCCCTTTTGAAAAAAAAAGAGGTCCTTTTGGGATGACCATTTCCTGAGGAAGACCCTTAAAATGTGGGGGGCAAGAATCTTGATCAACCCTATGGGTGGCTTGTGTTCTTTTGAATTACCCTTTCTTGGGTGGTTTTGAAGGAAAGCCACAAGGAACGCCGCCTGTGTTGGTGTTAGACCCATTGCAACTGGGTGGCTATGCACAAAGCGGCCCACAGGCAACTCATAGCGCTTCTGGTCCACGTCTTTCAACAAGAGGAGGTAGCCGTGCTTGTCGTGCCGCGCCTCGTGGAGAATTCAGCCGCGAAACAAACAAAGAGATAACAACTCGATCGGTACGCCTCCACCAAATTCCCGTTATTTTCAGGGTATGATGTCAGCACCTGCCAAAAGAACAAAGTGTCTACTATGAAAGAGCAGTTCCTTCCAAACATACCCAAACAAAAGCAAACGCAGAGCCCGTGCTAAAGGTCAAACCGTCGGTGGGATATGTCATAATCTCGCTCTCAGAATCTAAGGAAGCGTGCTGCCAGTGGAATGCACGCTTTTGAAGAGAACTTTTTTCGTGGAACAACTAAACAACTTCAACCCCAAAGATCCTTTCCAGATTCTATCAAACATCAACCTCGAGTATCCATGACCCTTTAAACATGACCCTTCAACAATGGTTGGTCATTCCCCAATATTTTCCGGGGTTATGACCCCCTTTTTTTCTGCTTAGAAGGAGACTCGAGGGAAGTGCAGCCACAGTGCGATCACAAAGGCGCAGTGCTCTCTCGGCTCGTTCAGCGCCGCAAAGACGCGGCCCATGGCTCAATCACGAAAACGGATCGAAGCCGATCCGCGAAGCTCCGCGAAAGCGCATGCGAAACGTTGCGAGAGATGATCGTCCGGATGCATCCAATGTGAATCTTCAGCTGAGTCTGTGAAATCGACTCTGATCCCTTGAGCCATAGCCATTCAGAAACTCAGAAATTCACTCGCACCAACAGGAACACGAGAGCTCCCAACAGTGCCAGCGCGACGCTACACGGGCACGTTTGCGCAACACGTTGCGCATAACTACATGGGTGATAGGCCCATTTGGTAGGCAGGTAGGCACCTAGGTCATAAGTCCCGAATGCGTGTTGACCCTGTTACGATTGGACAAAGACGACCCGAAATTCCAGACATGGATGAAACATGGGGCTTCTGTTGACTGATACATCGGGCTGAAACGGCAAGTGGGTTATGACCTAGGTCCCTACGTAGCTTGCCGCTCATAAGTTGCATCCAAGTATCAACAACCTGGGCAGGATTGCACGGTTCCTCAAAAAATTCCTTGGCTTTGCTTGGCAATAGAACGTGCAGCAGAATGGACTTACTTCTCGGCAGCTGCCACAAGTGCAGCGTATCGCATTATCCGCAGCATTGGCAAGTGTCACTGGAGTGGATTGGCCGAACAAGGTCCGAACTTGTGCCACTCAAATGGTCCGGCATGGGATTTATTCGGAGCCCCAAAGAAGACTTGTGTACCATTGTTGGAGGGTAATTAATCTTCTTGGGGTTGGGTGAAAGGGGAATTCAACAGGAAAGCCACCAGATTTGACGGCTCCGAATCCCTATTTTGACACAGAATAAACGGGCCATAGTCAAACTCCGTGCAATCCTCGCCCCGCCACGCCGGCTAGAGGCCAAGGAGCCCTATGTACAAGCCGAGATGTCTAGTGCTCGTTGCCAAGTCGAGTGCTTAGTGGCAAACATTGTCTCTTGGTTAGTCCTTCCTGGGCTGTCCAAGCAAATCCCCTTCTTAAACTGTAACTTGTGGGTGACATGAAAACCCGACAGTAAAACCAACTAAAAGCCTCTAAAAGCCGTTCTGGAACCCGACGATTCGCTGGGAACCGAAATCTGCACGACCCTTGCAAGGTACAGTTCACATGATTTTTTCTGGTCGCACCACAGAGTAACCAAAGGTTCTGACTGCGTGACCGCGTACAACAGGGATTGAATGTATTTTTGCCCCACGAATCTTGGAACCTCCCAAACCTTCCAGTCGGAATCCAGACCCCTCCAATGGAAGGTCCAATGATGCTTAGGCTGGGACTCTCACTTTGATGCTGAGTTAAAGGAAACTAAGCACCTTTGTGCACCGAGCACGGCGTTCTTTGCAGCCAGTCACCAGCGTTCTTTGCAGCTGTCACCTGGTTGCTCGAGTCAACCAAACGAGTTCTCGACGAAATCTCCGTCGAGAACATGGACCAAAGCACCTGTTTGTTCAACTGGGGAGCCTTTGGCGGACATCAGATACTAGGTCCTCCACTAAAGAGGAGAAAATCAGGGTTCGCTTTTGCGATGTGTGCTGGTTCCCTATTTGAGGGCCCCCTATTGAACGAGTGTTGGTCTCAGGTAGCGGGCTGGTCCACATGACCGTGGCCACACCGGTTCGCGATCAGTCGCGGCACTGTCAAGGCTGTGCAAAACATCGAGTCCATCTGCGCCTCGCTTGCCTGAAGGGCTTGGAAATAAAAGGTGTTGACCAAATGGGACTTTGACTAAAATCCCAGACAATCCGTGTAGGATATGTATATATATATATATGTAGACGTTTGACGCATTTGCAGGGTAAACGTTGGTGCATATTACCATACTATTGGCTTGTCTGGTAAAGGTCGATTCGCTTGGGACAAGCGAGGTGCTATAGCCGATTCGCACCGCACACTGAGTGCGCCGCGTTTATGAAGTGCCTGTGGACAGGAAGCACCGATCAGGTTCGGAAACCCTCCAAACTGAGAGACTGAGAGCCTCGGATTTGTTTTTTTCCTCTAGACTCTCCTTATGACCCGAACCAAAAATGGGTCCATGACCAACCATTATTTTGGGCAATAACCAACCAATTTTAAAGGGTCATGGAGACTTCAGGTAGACCCGAAACCGGATCTTCGACATGATTGTTCTTAGTTGTTTGAGTTTGGAACCATGAGAAAAGTTTCAGGGCCTGCCTTTTGGCTGGCGTTTCTGCAGAGGCTCCACAAGGATGGAGTTTCAACACAATATCTAAAAGGGGTTCCTCAAATGATCCTGGGTCCTCCAGTAGAGAGCTTAGAAGTAGTCGATCTTAGCAGGGGAACCCTCCCCCAAAAAAGAGACGGTAAAAGGGCACTACTGGGGGGACCTAGGATCCCTTTCAACATCATCTCCCTGTACCTTCGCTTGTTGGTCCCCTGGGAACAATGAAAGCATATGAGAGTAGCTTTTCTTTGGAGTAATTACCGCATGTGTGCGGTGTTTTGAAGGCAAGCCACAATCTGTGAGGCTGGAAAAAAAGCTCTGTGAGCACTGTGATCCCCTAAAAACCCAGCAGACCCACACGTCCAGAGATCGATTCCCTTGAAAACCAGCAGCTCACTTATCAAAGGGGCCACTAACCATGGGAACCCAAAATAGGCCAAATCCGGTCAACCCGCTTTGAGCTTTTTTTGGGGAAGGGGGACATATATAACAAAACCATGAAGTGTGAGTGGCCTTCACTAAACATGCTGACATGAAATGATTGGCTTGCAGCATGCAAGTGCAGCTTGGAGGTTGGGGCATCTTGATGGTTGGGGCAACCCCTGTGCCCTCCAAAAGGCACTTGGCAAAAGATACACCAGCGATTGTAGAGACTCCCCTTTCCCGGCATAGTGGGCAATGCCGACCCCTGAGTCATACACCCTCCACTAATAAAGGGGGGTCCCTTTTTAGTGGGGAATGCTTTCTTCCAGGGACCCGGATTGATAACCGGAGGATTTCATCCGGGGTCCTTTAAAGGGAACGTGGAAGAATCGACTCGTGCCATGAGCTGCGACCTCAGGTTCCGGGCGGTCGTAGCATTCTTGCAGAATGCGAAGGTATCGGTCCTCGGAGGCTGAGCCCGGATGGTAACATGATGGTCTGTTTTGGGGGCACAAAGATCAGGTGGGGTGGGGGTTCATCAAAATACCCCAGCCCCTTAGACTGCCAATTGAGGTAATGGGGGCGGGGGGGGGGTTTTCATCAAAATACCCTAGCCCCTGGAACCCGAAAAAATACGAAGGAATGAGGTCCAAGGGCCTTCCAGGGATAAGCCCACCATTGTTGGGGGCTGCCCGTGTTGGATGCTTCTCAAGATAAGGGGTATCGCAAAATGGACTCAATGTCCTTGTGGATATCCATTTGCAGAAACTGCCACATGAAACCAACAGTATATACAACAGGCATGACTTCGACTGGAAGGACCTGTGTTTACATGAACAAGGCCAACTGGAAATGGGTGTGTCTCAAAGTAGGGGGGCCCTCAAAATGGGTGGCTTTCCTTTTGGTGTCCTTTTAAATTCATCCAAAAAGGGCTACCCACCCAAAAGAAGGCGAGATACCCAATTGTGATTCCAACCCTCAAGCTGCCTTTGACCGTTTTCAGGGTTTCCCATATGAGTTACAATCAAAGCCCGGTATTAAACTGGTCTACCCAGAATCATGTAAAGAAGTACCAAGGCAGCTGCACCCATTGGGAGTGTCCCCTACAAACCTTCATCTACCAGAGTTTTGGGCAAGTGACTCATCTCATATCTGGGAAGATCACCGAGGAAAACTCACCCGAGGCCCAACCGCTCATATTTGGAGCCCAAACGTAGCCCCTGACTAAAGGGTTGCGCAACCCACGTGGGGGGGTGTGCCTCTTTCAAGGTAGTCTTGCTGTTTGAACCGGAACTCTTCAGCAAAGCCGCCATTTTGCGGGGGGGCCCTCTATTTTGACACATACAGTGTGTTCTAAACCCACTACCTTCCCGCAATTCACGCATGGCTTGGTACGGTATTGTTGTTTTACCTGCACTGTTCGGGGGATCTCAAACATGCACACAATGGGATCCGACTCGACCCAGGTGAGAATTTCCAAAGAGCCAACAGAAACCAATACCAATTTCAGGAGTCCGGTGGACGCCCTCGAGCCGATGGCCTTTGTTGCAGCTCCAAACAGATCAAATGGAGGAACCCGGCTATTTTGAAGCGCTCCCTCCACCCCTCTTCCAAATTTTTCCCCCCTCCGTTCCCCCCCCCTCTGTTCCCCCCCCCGCCCCCCCCCTGTCCCTCCGTTCCCCCCCCCCCCCCGCGTTCCCCCCGCCCCCAACCACGGCGAAGTCGCCGGGTGCTTTCGGCGACCCGGCGCGTGTCTCTTCGGCCTGCTGCAATTGCTGCCTCGCAGTGACCACCTGACGCGCGCCATTCGGCCACTCGAAGTCGACCGCCCACTGACGGCTAGGGTGAAGACCTTGAGACTTAGACCGGGACCCTGCACAAAGCGATGAACCGCTTGTTGCTTGAAAGGAACAATACTGGCAAAAAACCAGGCAACAAGCTGAAAGGTCAACTAAGTTTGGCAATGAAACACGGTTACAAAGCATTTGGGGTGAACGGGAAATCAAATTAAAGAAACACCAGCCAGGCCCCCCCGATGGCCGGTAATTGACGTCCCGGGTGAAGTGCCGGCAATTGACCAGCACTTGCTTAAAAATGGTTGTGTAGTCACTTCGATTTGTTTGCCATCATCACAGTGCAGTGAAAAGTCACTGTTGTTGAAACGTCACTTCGGGATACTAGAGGGGATCCAATTGAGGGGTTGGGCTGGCATGTATGATCATTGCACATGCAACGCGCGGGGGGGGAGGGGGGGCGACACGCTGGTGACACGCTCATATCCCAAAAAAGTGACCGTTCAACGTACATGTGCCGGCAATTGGCCACCCCCCGACACGCCGTGACACGCCGTGACACGCTCCTCAAGAACCCCTCCCAACCTCAAACTTGCCCTCCAAACCTCAAATTTGCCGCTCTCCCCTTTCCCCTGCAACCCCATTCCA